GCAAGTCTAAGAACTCCTAGGCCTTTGCATGCCTTGCAACCACTGGAAAATACTTGTTCATGAAGAGCTACTTGAACTCTACCCATGTCATAGTCTCCAAATTCTTGGAGTCCTTCACCCAATCCCACCACAATTGGGATTCTCTTTCCCGCTGAAATGTTGCTAGGGTTATCTTGGTGGCATCGGAGGTGATCTTCATAGCCCTCAAGACCTTATCAACTTGCCGGATCCGATGGTCAGCCACCATAGGATCCGCCCCTCCCCTGAAGATCGGAGGCTGATGTGCCTTGAACTTTTGGAGATTGCTTGAGCCTCCTTGTCCTCCACTTGCACTAGTCTGTGCAATGGTGGCAGCCGTAGCAGTAGCCTATGCTATGGTAGCAGCCGCCGTACCAATAGCCTCCACTAAGGCTTGTTAGTCAAAAGCCGGTGGTGGTTGGTTATTGTTCCGTCCACCCCGACGTCCCTTTCCTTAAGTTGTCATCTACACATATGTCAAGTGACAATAAAACATTCACATAACATCCTAAGGTAGGGATCAAACTTGAAACATTGAGATTTATCTCCTTGTTTTCCTAGTAGAGTCTATGCTACCCACTAGTAAACATTTATACCTTGAACTATCCCGTTCATTTCTTTTCCCACCCCTAAGACTATGTTTTCTAACCCTAGTGTCTCTTTCCTTATCCATTTTACCATGTATATAATGCACATAATCACATAACATGCAATCATGTAACAAAATATAGGCACATAAGATGAAATGTACAATGCATGCAATGGTCTAAACCCAATGCCCATCAAGCCCTAGGTAATCTGTATACCTATGCTCTGATACCAAGCTGTGATGCCCCTAAACTGGGAGTCCCGTTGACCACCCGTTAACCCGCAAAAATACTCATGATTATCGCATAACCCGACATCACGTCTACCGCATCCCTGTAATCGGGATTACAACTCACACTAGGATTCGTGTTTTTTTTTACCATTTAATCTCATCGAGGTTCAATGTACCCCAATGTATCTCATTTAAGGTCCATTTGTGTCATTAGAACCAAAGAACACATGACCCAATAGTATGGCAATGCATTCTTAAAATTTCAGATTTTTGAAAAACCTTTCGGAAGGTTTGCTCACTGGAAAACTTCTACCGTAAGGTTTTATGAATCTTTCGGTAGGTTTTACCTACTGGACTAATTTCTACCGAAAGGTTTTACTTACCTTCCGGAAGGTCTGCCCATTGGATGAAAAACTGCATGAACCTTTCAGAAGGTTTTGTAGACCTTCTGGTAGGTTTTACCTACTGGACAAAAAATTTACACTAACCTTTCGGAAGGTTGTTGTGACCTTCCAGAAGGTTTTGCCCAGAATTTCATGCTTCATCAGACTTTCATTTCCAATTCATCCAAAACCTTTCCAAACTTATTCCAAACATGGATAACGATTTTTTCTACATTATTCATGATCCATACAAGTTCTATTACATGCATTTGCATAATTTTTAAATGTTAAAACATTGTGCCAATAAAGATTACACAAAAGCCACAAGTTGGCTTTTATTCATCGTTGAGGCCCCGAATGCGAGTCCTCTCCCGATACGAACCCCGCACTTGAAATGTTTCCGGTATAGGGTGAGTCAATGCCCAGTAGAATATTTCCTACAGAGACTACTTCCCAACCTAAATGCATATAAAATGATCATATACAACATTCACAATCCTATAATCATTCCAATCAAGAATATACATGATTCATGTTGGGATCTACCATGCCATGCCATGAATGAAATGAAATTCACTCATGCACATCAACCCGAGCCCTCACCGGCTCTCTTTACACTATGCAATGCAAGTGGAAAACCCTTGTCATTGATGAAATACATCCAATAATCATCTTTGAAACAAAACTCATATGTTCATAAAAACCAATTCATCTCTGGATGTTTCCCATCAAATGAATCATTTATATAACCAAAACCATGTGTCTTTATTTGGGTAGTGGACTTTTGGTATTGCACCGCCGGCTCCACATGCCGATACACTTTTTTTGGACTTACACCGTCGGAAGTGTATAAACTAATAACCCTGCCTTGCACCTGAGGGGGGATCTATCCCTTCTTGCTATACCCGACACAAGTTTTTCCATGAATGCAATCGTGTGACTCAATAGAGTATTCAACCCCCACTTTCCCGAACCCACTCATCAAACACCAAGTGTAAAGATTGATCCAACCATGCACTCACACACCCGTACTTATGGTCATGGATGTGTATTCTCCGTGCAAATGCAATGTAGTGCACCATTGCAATGTCTATGTCACACTCATATGCAATGTATGCCAAATGAGCCATTTAACCAAGTATCCACATACAACATGACAATTAATATCAATTGTATATAATTACCAAAAATCAACATGTTGCTAAAATATTAACAACACATAGCATCAAGCAATAATTCACAAGCTTGTTATACATAATCAGTGCTATAACAACTTAATTTCCATTTAGGCATTCTTTGCAAAATACCATCAAGACTCAATATTTCCCACATCATTCACAAGGCATAATATTAAACATATAACATGCCCATAAAATTACTTTTCCATGGAATTACCAACCAAGTAATTACCACATCTCTAATTCAAGTTAGAAAGTCTATTCTAACACATTCTAATACTCTTTTTTCATACCCATTTCATCTATTTCATATGCATAGATGAGTGACATATATGTTCCCATTAACCTATAAATTTCATATAACACTATAGATAGAAAATGAACCAAAGTAGGAGGACCCTTACCTCTTGGAGCGTAAAAGAAAGGGAGAAACCTCAAGAACAACTCCCAAGCACCAAACTTTCGATTTTTCCAAAATTTCTACCTTGAAACTTTGGTGAAATTTTTCGTTCTTGGTACGTATGCACAGCTCTCATTGAGTAGACCAACTTTAACTCTTGGTCCGAAGGATTTCGATCGACGAAACTTCTTGGATAGAAGAAAGAAAGGTAGAATTTCTATTTTCTCTCTTCTCTCTCTTCTAACGTCTGAACATAGTCGGCCAAGGGTGAGAAATATCTTATTTTTCAGATATTTCGCCCTATTTATACTTTTAATTGCGTGATCCATATTGTCCCGCTCGTTTATCACTTCCGAATCCGTTTTTAACCCGAAACGACTTAATTAAATTTTGATTTTCGTTCAAATTAATTTTATTTGAAATTTTACTCAATTATAAGAAAATTTCATAATTTCCATTTTTGGGGACGTTTAAAAGTTCATTCATCACCCAATTGTTTTGAAAAATGTGTAAAATTCGACTATCTCGTAATTCGACGAAAATTGATGTGCTAACTCAATTTTGCGATATAAATCCAACGGTGAAGTCCGTTGCTCCATCCGAGCTCTATAGAAATATGCATTTTAATCCGGCATACTAGTGACAAATTACTATTTTACCCTTTGTCGGAAAAAGTTCAAATTTTCCTGAATTTTACAAGTTAAATAGGTCAAGCATAGTCATTAGTAGATGAGTTATACTACCTAACCTAAATGAAATATAAAAATTACAATCCAAATGCATATCTTTCTTTGGATGAGTGGATCCCATTGAAAAGTTGATGGAACTAACTCATCCAATGAATGATATGCATTTGAGTTATAACTTTTTAAGTTTCATTAAGATTGTTTAACATTAATTTTAAAGATTAGCATAGAGGGTGGGATTGATCATTAATGATACATATAAAATGAAGTGTGCTAGATGGAGTTACTAATTTTTAGGGATAATTATAAAGAGCTACACAAAATTAGACTTAACTGTCAAAAAGTACATAGTTCTTAATGTTACGAGTTCTAATAAAATAAGAATCTAAAATTTAAGAAAATTAAAACCCATAATAAATCTTCGCCATTTTTGTAGAGATATGTTTCAAAGTTTTTAAAAAATTTGAAATTTGACAACTAAAATTAAGGAATTTTAATTATTTTATTTTAGAAAGTACTAAAATTAAAAAATTTTAATTTTACATTAGATTTAAATTAGTGACGTATATATGTGTTCACACACACACACACGCACACTCACATATATTTATATATATATTACTTCTACATTATTTTGATACACAGTATTGATACACATTAAATGGTTTATGAAATTAAAATGTATTAATATAATGTATCAAAACAATATAAGAGTAATAGAAACTAGGATTTAAGACTTATACAAATTTAAAATGTATCAATACAGTGTATCAAACAGTGTAAGAGAAATAGAAACTAGGTTTTATAGTGCGACTTCATAGTATTATATGTATATATATGTGTATATATGTGTGTGTGTGTGTGTGTGTGTGTGTGAATATATATATATATATATATATACCAAATTATAATATATAAATCAAAATTCTTTAATTTTTGTACTTTTTAAGATAAGATAATTAAAATCCCTTAATTTTTTATGTCAAATTTTAAAATTTTCAAAAAATTTAAAATATATCCCCAAAAAATAGAGAGGATTTATTATGGATTTTGATTTTTTAAATTTTATTTTGTTAGAACTTTTATATATATATATATGTGTGTGTGTGTGTGGGGTTTTTTTTAAGAAAATTATTTATAATAAAAGGTATTGGTATTAAAGTCTTTCTATGTCATTGAGTTGATTTTAAAAAAAAATAATAATTAAATTCAATTTCTCCCAAAATCAATGACTACGGATATTTAGGGCCGGAATTCCGATTGATATTTAATGATGGGAGTCAGCCGAAACCGAATTTGAAGTTATCCTTGTAGATAGAAATGAGATAGGAACACTGAACGGAAGGTCAGAGACTGGGAAACCCCCTCGACATGGAGATATCTCAACCATCTTGCAGTTGCAATAGTAAACTTCAATTGCTTCAACCACTCCTCCATTTTCAAGCCCCTGTGTTTAACTCAATTTTCCCACTGTCCTCCTCTGCTAGAAAAAACCGCGCACCTCAATTCTCAAAAATGCCCAAAACATTTCGTTATTCCCCGGGAAAATCCCTCATCACCGACCGCTTAATTCTTGAGGACAGTGATTGTGGTAAGCTCGCGATCGTATAGACAATTCATTTTTTTTCCTATCATGGGTAACCTCTGATTTGGGAGTGCCAAATGTTTGACAATAGTTCACTGCAAATATGTTCCGATTAGTTGAGTTGTCTGGTTATATTTCGTATTTCACTCCATCAATTACGCAAGTTTAATGAATTTTCACATTAGCTTGAGGTGGGTGACGTTAGTTCTGAAAAAGTTTGGATGTTGTCGTGTTGATTGATGTTGATGTTGGGGTGGGTAACATTAGATTTGAGGTTGTCATTTGTCAGTTTTCCGAACTGACAACAACTTTATTTACCTATTCATCTCTGTAAGGTTCGACGATTAAGGTTGCTGAGGTTGATTCTTCTTTGCCAATGAAGGTGAGATATCATTTTCTGCTAATTTGAACTTTAGGGCTCCATTTGACTTTCAGGATGATGTACCGCATGCTAAAATTAAAGGACAAACAGATAATTTCGTATGCATGAAAGATCTCATTTTAACTATTCAATTTTAATACAGAAGAAGGCAGTAGAGATATCCCCTGAACTAAAAGGAGTATCTCTATTTCTTGTTGGTAAGCAATTGCTCTTTCTAATTCACTCTTGAAGCAAATCCCAACTTTGGTTGTTTATTTTTATTTATGTTTTGTCATTCTTTTGTCTTCTAGGAATAAACTGCACCATAAAAGCAAGATTGGGGAACCTTCTTGCAGATGCATTGCGATATTATTACTTTGACAGGTATCTTCCTTCCGATGATTTTGTATAGTGTGAAGAACTGTTTGTCCAGATTATGGTGGCTCCAGAACTATGTTTGGTTTCTCTGTGCACTATTCAGTGATAGTTTGGTTGAGGAAGCTGCTGGAGGCAAATCTGCTGCTAAATTATTTAGAGAGACAGATGAGGAAGGGTTTCATGACTCTGAGGTGACCACAAGAGTCTTGTGTTATTATGTTGAGATTGGGGGTTAAGATTGTTAGTACGGTTCAGTGTTTCGTGTTGATTAAGCCGTTCCTTGTACTACTTTTCTCTATGACAGATAGTATGATATGTCAACTAAATTTTCTGTGCATCTGTAGACAGAAGTATTGAAGCAGTTGTCATCCATGGGCCGCCTGGTTGTTTCTGCTGGAGATGGTGCAGTTCAGAGTGCATCTAATCTGTATGAATACTTATTGCCAATTTCTCCTATAGTTCTTACTGATTTATCCTGGCTTTGATATAGTTTTTATGCTGATTATCTGTTTGATATTTACAGGGCACTTTTGAGACATGGAATTTCTATATGGATAGATGTCCCTCTAGACATGGTAGCGAGAGACATTGTGGAAAATGGGATTCAATTTGCTGAATCAGAAATAACGACTTCTGGTTCTTATTCTGAGGTCTTTTTCTTTTCCTCCAGTATCTAATAAATTAACATAATATAAATTATATCAACGTCACTTCACCGGTTAAACACCCATTATTTCTGCCATTTCGTAGCCCTTCTGATGTTTTCTTCACACTTCATGCTACATTATAACCAGGTGTTGGCTCAACTAATTGCTTTGTACGAAGAAATGCGAGTTGGATATGCTACAGCAGATGCCACTGTTTCACTTCAGAGTATATGTGCACAACTTTTCTTTCTCAGATAGTATTTTTCCCTTAATTGGTTTAAATAGCTTCTTGTTCTTTGCAGAAGTAGCGGGTCAGTTAGGTTATGATGTCTTGGATTCAGTAACGGCAGAAGACATGGGCCTGGAGGTGAAGAATACTTTTGTGCATTATGAAAATATTATTAACATCAAACTAAAATAGAAAAGCTGACTTACCATGGGATTTGCCCCTAACCATCTCTGATAATTGAAGGTTCTCAACGAGATAGAGAGACTGGTAAGAGTAAAGAAGATGATGGAAGAGGCTGCGAGACCATTTTAACTCGTAAGGGCTGTGTTTTCACCACATTGAACCACTTTTGATTAATCCATATTATCCTGCAGGCCATGTGTAAGTTTTTTGTGTTGAATTTTATCCCGTAATTATTGAATGAAAGTGTGATCAGAATATTGCTGTGATCTGTATGCTAATTGTTGCACAAGTCATTTCTGAGCAAAAAATGTTAAGCAACAGTTTTTGCTGTAATACACTGATGGGCACAATTCAGTACAAAAAATTAGACCCAAAAGGATTGCAAAGAAGTTCCAATGTAAAGATTTTGAGAAACAAAATTTGGCCAACATGCACTCCCTTCAAGAATGAGCATTAATCTGATTGGCACTTTCATAAAAGTAGTTGATTAGCTAGATCCTATACCATAAAATGCAAAAAAAATCTTAGGCATCCAAATGGGGGAGAAAACAAAATATAGATGAATGATCGAATAAAATTCGTACTTTTTCTTCCTTCCTACTACGCATATAAGTTTAGAAAAGATTGTATTTTATGTGTATATATCGGGTGGAGTTTGTTTCTATATCTAGGATAATGGTTACTCATATCATGGAGCAAGTGCTAAGACAGATAATGAGGGGAGCTTGCATTTATAATGTAGATTATAAGTTGGGTGAAAAGAGGACGGTTTTTAAGGAGTAATATTACATGGACTTAAAAAGTAAACTTAAAAATTAGACTTGATAATTACAACAATTGATTTCGCTATGCGTCTTAGCATTTATTGAGACTCACTACCTATTCAATGGTTGAGATTATAAAGTATAGTTTTTAAGTTTATTTTTTAAGTTCATGTAACATTACTCTTAAAAAGTCCTTTAGAATTTAGATCTAGATGATGACATCATACATGAATCTAAATTGGAAGTTGTTAATAGAAGAGTGGTGAATAGTGTATGGGGTGCTAGGTTCAAGAATTGAGTTTGTCTTCCCTCGGTGGGTGGATCAAGGGGTATTGTTAGCATATGGAATCAGATATATTTTTGGTGGAAGAAGTGATTGAAGATGAGTTCACTGACTTGAGTAAAGATATGCACGTCCAAGTATAGGCGGTTGAGTTATATTAATAGTTCGGTTAAGTCTGAGATTGAATCTTTAGGGAACTAATGGTAATATTTTAAATAAATGATCAATAGAGACAAAGATACAAGAAACTTTAAAGAATGAGTGATTGTGTTGTGAAAAGTTTGTGTGCACGAGCCAATGTAAGCCTTTGACAATAAGGAAAGATCACTCTCTAGTTCAGGGTTTCGGAATCATGCAGAAGTGTTTGGATGTAATAGTTGTGCAATAATAAAATCTCAGCTAACCTTTGTGTCAGCAATTGGTTAAGTAGAAGATGATTGATTTTCGATTGAACAATGTAGTTTCGATGTCATGCTCATAGTTGTAAATATTGAAGATGTCATGACTTCACCTGTCTATAATCAATTAAACAACATAAATAAAACATCACAATTGGTTAGATATCAATCATATAGTTAAGCACCATGTAGGTGAAGATTGAAGGATAACATGAAGATCTAACTTAAATACTTGTAGGAAGTTATAAACATTATCTATAGCAAGATTCAACTTGTCCATAGGTAATCAAACAACTATACAAAATATGTTAGCTTGTTAGATTCATTCAATCATTTAAGTTAGATTAGAAAAGTAAGCATAATAAAAAATTGCACATATATATAATTCAAACGATTCAACATAAATTCATTTCTCTTCACTAAAGAGTGGATGAGAAACTACTCACCCTTTATGGCCATTAATAGGCTTGAAAAGTAAGTGAATTTCATCCCTCTAAGTAAAGAGAATTAAAGATTATGAAAGGAAATAACAAGAAGACAATTGAAATTACAATAAATAAATGTAAGGCATGCATATTTACTAAAGTTCAAATAAAATACAACTCACCCTTTATAGTTCGAAGGAAGCTAGAAAGGTGAGTGAAATTCATCTTACTAAATAAAGAAAAAAGCTTAAGAAATGTAGAAGGCAGAGATCTCTAAAATATTACAAGGATTTGAATGCTAATGGAAGAGAAAATGGAACTCTAAAAGTGATGTCTTCCTTCTAAAGTATAAGGGGTATTTATACAGGGAGATGAGCGGCAAAAGAGCCAATACTTCAGAGCTTTAAATGCGAACACATCTTTCAAACTTTTGTCACGGGTGTTTGGATGTTGGTGGTAGGCATTCGAACGCCACTAACTTTCTAGTTTTGCAGCCTGTTGGAAATGCATTTGGGAAGAGGCATTCGGACGCTGGTGGTTGGCGTTTGAATGCCAGTCTCTTTCAACTTCTATTTTTTGCGGCCTTCTGTTTAGGAATTTTGAGGCATCGTGATTATTGTGGCTAGTGTTCGGACGCCAGTCTCTTGCTTGTTTTTCTCTGTTTCTTGATTCCAGTCCACTTTTTCACTTCTTTTTTTGTCCCTAAACTTTGTGAAATTGTATTCTTGCGCTGCAATTCAAATTAGTGCCCAATTTTACCCTATACTAATTAAATCATTTATTTTACAAACAACTAAGAATGAAATGCTTATAATTAACCTCTTTAATGTATATGAAAATGTAAAACCCAAAAAAATTAAAATTTTATTAAAAAGGTAAAATGGTAATTAACCATTACGATGCGGGTTGAAAATCCAAGTATGAAATGCATATAATTAACCTCTTTAATGTAATGAAAATGTAAAACCCAGAAAAATTAAAATGATATTAAAAAAGCAAAATAGTAATTAACCATTACAACGGGGTTGAAAATTTAAATTTTTTAGAATTTGGATGATGAAACGGACCTTACCTTTGGATTAATCTCGCGAAATCTCGTTATTCAGTCAATTTTCATTGAATTCCGAGATAGCCGAATTTTTCACATTTTACAAAGTGATTGATGTCTTGCAACTAAAATAAACGTGATCAAATTTTATTCGCAAAACTCAGGAAATAATTTAGTTCAATAAAAATGTACTATACTTAACACGAGACAATATTTAATTGATTTAGGATAAAATTGGACCAATCAAAAGTAAGACGTGTGGTGCAACGAGAACCAAGTGTTTTTGAGAAGTATATGTAACGCCCTAAAATCCACCCTGGACGGAATTACAAACTAAAAATCATTTACATCACGAGAGCAACTAAATAATTTATCTCTAAATAAATTTTATACATCAAAGGTAATCTTTAAAATCTCGTTCCCAAAAGAATACGCCAAAACATGATGAATATATCCCCAAAAGAATATGATCCAAAAAGTAAGATAATTACATCCCAAAAGAATTAAACATAAATTCGCAGTAGAATTACAAAAGAGTCTAGACTTCACAATATTTTCAAAGTAAATTTTCGAGTCTAGAATAAAAAGTAATGTTGTTCTAAGCGTCCATCTCGGGATCAACATGCCCGTTTACGGGAATCTCCTAGTGTGCTGGTTCCTCAATTTCCAAATCGTCTTCCAGTACATAATCTGAAAAATGTAGTTTGTAGGGGGGTGAGCACTAAGCTCTGTAGCAACATTCTTCCCAAACTCGAATAAGGTTTAGAAAAACATATAAAACGATTGATCTCATTTTACAAATAACATATATAACTTTTGAAGAAAACAAAGACATTTGAAACATATCTCAAGTTTAAATAACAACAATAATTTAATGAATAAAAGAACTCAATATACAATTAATAATCCATTTCACCATAAACCGTTTCTCACAAGTTCTTGCGGAATTTCATATTTCCCAAGATTCTTGTAGAAACCATTTCTGGTAGAATAAACAATAACTCATAACTTGAACATTGTACAACAATATATACTTGTATCTCAACCATGATATAAGACTACATGAGTCAACGCATTGAGTAACATCTAGTCCACACATACACACACCCAAATCTTCTCAAAGATATCTAACCTTTAGGAAGAACGTATACCATATCAATGACAGTTACGTATCTAACCCAGACATTAGTATACTAACCCTCCGACTCGATACCTGTGAGCAAATAACAGTTTAGTCTTACCAAAGCACTAACCCCACTACGAGTGGTAGGAAAAGTTCAAACCCACACGGAGTATGAATGACGTCTACCCACTCTATGATATCTCGTCAAAGGTCACTTGTGGTCATCCCACACTCATGAGAGATATAATACCAAACTCAATTTCTTAATTTACAAGTATATCTCAAAAATTTTCAAATTTATCATGTGACAATTCCAAAATCAATTAAGAAAAATACAAGAGATCACAACAACATCATTTTATCACTCAACACAAAGCACTATAGTTTCAAAATCAACAATAAATGAAGAATTTAAGAAGAAAATTCACCACTCTCCAAAAACTAGGGTTTTACAGCAAGAAAAGAGATTTCATGGGTATTCAACCCTAACTTTGTTCAAAACATGTAATCTTTGCAAAAACAAACTAAGAGTGGATGATTTCATATCATATATATAACATTTAGAGGCAAAACATGCATATATAAATATCCTAACCTCAATAAACAAGGATAGAAGAAAACCTCCTACCTATCTCCTTAGCTTTGGTGTGAAGAGCAAAAATATTTGATCTTGAATCACCCTAAAAACTCTTATTTTCCCTTTGTCTTTTCCTCGCTAAGTCTTTCTACTAGGGTTCTTAGAGGTGTGGGGTGAGAGTGGTGTGAAAGAATGGGAGTAAATGGAGTGAAAATGAGGTTTTAAAACATAAAAATCTCGACTTTTTAACGATCTACCGGTAGTTCGAATCTACGGGACATCGTACTATTTGTTGAGCTACCGGTAGTTCGGATCTACTGGACCTCGTACTACCGGTAAGTCCTGTCCAAATTTGCCTATTTCCTCTATTTTTCACTTCAAATCCATTTCAAATCCTTCCAAAATCAACCCAAACTTATACAACATACATTTGTACATCAAACATAGTTAGTATAAGTTCTATTGCAAACGGTTTCATATATTTACAAGTCAAAATTAAGTTTAAACTAAA